CGAGGATTCCCACCCGTGATCACCCCCCAACCCGAGGATTCCCACCCACGGCCACACCCCGAGCCCCGGGGATGCTCCGTTGCCCAGTGGGTGTGCTGCGCCTGTTGGGGGTGTTGGGGTTGGGGATCCCGGTACTGCCAACCCCTCCAGTCGCGGGGACCCAGGTGTGCAGGGCTGGGGAGTCTCAGCCAGCATGGATTGTGCCTGTTGTCTTCATGGGCCAGTGCCATTCCGTCATCTCCCATTGGCCTTTCCAGGACCTTTTGGCCTCTGGGACAGGTGGACCTATGGAGCGGGGCTGCACCAGCCCTCCAAGCAGGACCTGTGGTTTGGGGATGGAGTGGGACACATCTCCTGGCATGCAGGAGAGGGCGGCTGGGAGGGGAGAGCATTCCCAAAGTCACCGACTGCCCTGTGGAGCAGTCAGGAAGCAGCACCTTAAGGTCCCCAGAGCTGCGTCCTCCAACTGTCATGGTGGCAAGCTGCCAGCCTGGCTGATCCCTGATGCTGCTGTTTCCTGGTCTGTCAGGGGACTCACACGTCCTCGCTGGAGCTGCTCTGGACTTCCTGTTGCAGCCCCTGCAGCCTGTCTGGGCTTTCCCTGGGGCATCAGTGGGATCCTGGGAGGAGGGAGACTCTGCGTGCCCCCTTGGTGGGTTCCCAGCACACCGGGGAGAAAATCAGGTAGATATTGGATAAGGTGGAGGAGAAGCAGCAAGGAAACCTTCATCAGGGCCAGAGCAGACTGGTTTGGGCTTTAACTGGGAGATGCTGCCCTGGGAGTGGTGTGATTTCCTTCCCACCTTGCACACAGGCACAGGTCCCTGTCCTGTGCCACCACCCTGGAGGAAGATGTGCTCCATGCTGAGGCCCACACTGGCTGAGGTGTGAGGGACACCTGGAATGTGCCCAGTGGCTCTTCTACCCTGTCCCCAGAACCTGATACCTCCCTGCCAGGGGGATGCTCACCCCTTCCTGCCCCTCTGCCAGGTCTCCAGGCAGGGTCTCACTGCTGAGGACCTCTCACTCTGCCGAAGGCAGGGCCCACTGCCTCCACGATGGCGAGATGGCTGCCCCGCTCCACCGACCTGACCCGCTTCTGCCAGAAACTCAACCGAGTGAAGACCCTGGAGGATGACATGATGGAGACATCCTTCAACAGATGCCTTTCCACCATCGACTTGACGCTGCTGGGCATTGGGGGCATGGTGGGCTCCGGGCTGTATGTCCTCACAGGCACTGTGGCCAAGGAGATCGCTGGCCCCGCTGTCATTGTCTCCTTCATCATCGCCGGCTTTGCCTCACTCCTGGCTGCTCTCTGCTACGCCGAGTTTGGAGCCCGTGTGCCCAAGACAGGCTCTGCCTACATGTTCACCTACGTGTCCGTGGGTGAGATCTGGGCCTTCCTCATCGGCTGGAATGTGCTGCTGGAGTACATGATCGGGGGGGCTGCGGTGGCCAGGGCCTGGAGTGGCTATCTGGACTCGATCTTCAACCACAAGATCAAGAACTTCACCGAGACCCATGTGGGTGCCTGGGAGGTGCCATTCCTGGCCCGCTACCCAGACTTCCTGGCAGCCGCCATCCTGCTGGTAGCCACTGCCTTCATCTCCTTTGGGGCCAAAGTATCCTCCTGGCTCAACCATGTCTTCTCGGCTATCAGCATGGGCGTCATCCTTTTCATCCTCATCATGGGCTTTGTCCTTGCACAGCCCAAGAACTGGAGCACCCAGGAGGGCGGCTTCGCCCCATATGGGCTGTCAGGTATCATGGCTGGCACAGCTACCTGCTTCTATGCCTTCGTGGGCTTCGACGTCATCGCAGCCTCCAGCGAAGAGGCCAGGAACCCACAGAGGGCTGTCCCCAGGGCCATCGCTTTCTCCTTGGGACTCGCCACCGGCGCCTACATCCTGGTGTCAGTTGTGCTGACACTGATGGTGCCCTGGCACTCGCTGGACCCTGACTCTGCCCTGGCTGATGCATTCTACAGGAGGGGCTATGCCTGGGCAGGGTTTCTGGTGGCCGCTGGCTCCATCTGTGGTGAGTACAGGCAGTGGCGGTGGGAGCTGCCTGCCCCGCTCACCATGGGGGCTGGGAACACCCCCCAGCCAGTTTGGGTTTGGGTCTGATGGGGTCTTCCTTCTTCTGCCTGTCCCTCAGCAATGAACACGGTTCTGTTGAGCAACCTCTTCTCCCTGCCACGCATCGTCTATGCCATGGCTGAGGACGGGCTCTTCTTTCAGATCTTCTCCCGAGTGCACCCCCGCACACAGGTGCCCGTTGTTGGCATTGTGGTCTTCGGGCTGCTCATGGCTCTGCTGGCCCTTGTCTTCGACCTGGAGGCCCTGGTGCAGTTCCTGTCCATTGGCACGCTGCTGGCCTACACCTTTGTGGCTGCGAGCATCATCGTCCTGCGCTTCCAGCAGCAGAAGGTGGATGTCCCTGCACCGGCAGCTGGTGGCCGGCCCAACCCCGAGCCCCACGAGGGTCCATCCAGTGGTGAGCTGAAGGAGTACGAGTCCTTCTCCGACAAGCTGCAGCTGGTGGACAGGGACAAGAACAAACAGCAGCGGGAGCCAGGGCAGCTGAAGGCAGCGTTTGAGCCCTACCTGGAGTTCCTCAGCGACTTCTACCCAGGTGAGGTGGTCACAGTGGCCGTGGTGACCCTGATGGTGTCTGCCATCTGCCTCTGCTCCATCTTGGTCTTTGGCCACACCCACCTCCACCTGCCCACCTGGAGCTACTCCCTGCTGCTGGTCCTCTTCAGCCTGGGCTTCCTGCTCAGCCTCCTCCTCATCTGGGCACACGAGCAGCAGCACAGCACCCAGACCTTCCAGGTATGCCTGGGGCCCAGGCAGGGACAATCTCTCTGCAGGGGTCGGGGTGGTTGGAGCAGCTCTGATGGGCCTACAGGGGCCCCAGGTACAGCCTGCATTGTTACTCTCTGTGGTCACTGATCCCCAGGAGATGACATCGCCAGCAGCTCTATGTCCATCCCATGGGATCACTCCTACCCTCCCTCCTCTGCATCCCCACAACCCCACAAAGTAGGGAGAAGGACTCCTTACTTTGGCTGCCCTTCAGCTATGTGATGGAGCTCCTCTTCAGCCTCCAAACCTGTTCTGTGCCTTCTGTGCCACTGTCTCCTGTTTTCAGCCCATCTGAGCCCTGATGTGGTCAGTGCAGCCATGTGGATGGTAACAGCAGTGGTGACACCACCTCTCTGCCATACCCCTGCCCTGGCTTCTCCAGCAAGGACCACATTGGCTCTGGATCACACCAGGAGTTTGGTTCTTGTGATGATGGCTGTGCCAACCCTGTCAGCCTCGCTCCCAGCTCCTGGCTCCCTTGTTCCTTTTGCCTGCCTTTTACCTTAAAAAAAAGTGCCACTTCTAGAAATTCCAGGGTGACAGTCCCTTTGTCTCCCATGTTTGCCAGTGCTGCCTTTTGACTTTATGATTTTAAGGATGAGAAATGTGGTCCTGCAGGTCTCAGCCCCACTGGCTCCTTTCCTCCCACAGATCCCCCTGGTGCCCCTCTCCCCGGCACTGAGCATCGTTCTCAACATCTACCTGATGCTGAAGCTCAGCTACATGACGTGGCTCCGCTTTGCAGTCTGGCTGCTCTTAGGTGAGTAATCCAGCTGCTGGGATGCCAGCCAGGACTGTGCCAGTGGCCAGGCTGTGCTGGAGCCGCTGCTGTTCCTGTCCCCCCTGCAGGCCTGCTCGTCTACTTCAGCTACGGCATGTGGCACAGCAAGGAGAACCTGCGGGAGCTGCGGCCCCAGCACCTCAGCGCCCGCTACGTGGTGTTCCCCAGCGGCAGCCTGGAGGAGAGGGTGCAGCCGGTCCAGCCCAGCTCCCAGCCCACTGCTGGTCTCCCGGACACCGACACCGATGACTGCAAGAGATGACACCCCAGGGGATGGGGGCACCTGGTGATGGGAGCATCAGAACCCCCTCCCACAGTGAGGCCAGAGACCCTTCCCCCTCCTCCTGGTCCCTATGACAGCAGAGCCACCAGGGCTGCCCTGGGCGTGGGGCTCCATCCGGAGAGGATGAGGATGCTCACCCTTACCACACGCTCCCCACAGAGCGTGGAGGGGCCGGCTCCCTCCCCCCCATCCCCTGCACTCAGGAACTGGGTCTCAGCCCAGTGCCTGCCCTACTTACGAGGAGGCGTGTCCTTGTCACCTCTCCCCGAGTGCACCCTGGCACTGTGCAGCACACCTCCTGTCCACTGGCACATCCATGCAGCCAGGGATGCAGAGGTTCCCTGGGGAGTGGGACAGGAAGCCCAGCGCTGCCTATCCTGGCTCTCATCCTGTCTGCAGCTCCGACTGCAGCCCCCTTTCCTCCTGCGGAGCCCTTCTGCCTCCCTCAGAGTCCCTTCAGAAGGAGGCAGGGACCTCCCCACAAGCATCCCTACCATCCCTGCCATCTGCGCCGTCCCCATCCCCAGGGCTGCTCTCCTCAAAGGTTGGGACTGAGGGGGCGATGGTGGAGGAGGTAGAGAAGGGACATGGCCAGAGTGGGTGGCCCAATGGAGGCTGGCACAGCAGCAACTCAACTGCATCTTTCCAGCTGCTGGAATTGCCCATTTCGGGGGGAGCTGGGGGCCATGCCCGCTGGAACGTAATGCCATAGCCAGGCTCCTGCCCCAGCCCTGAGTGGGCTGTGGGTGCTCAGGATCCCAGATGTGTTGCCTTGTCGATGGAGGTCCCCAGCAGCATCCCTGATCTGCCTGGAGCTGGCTCCCCGCTTTTGCTGTGCCCTAGCAGCACCACCTGCCCCACCACGAGGGGCTCAGCCCCCCATGATGCCCCTCCCAGGCTCTCTGGGGCTTGGGACGCGCTCAGCAGGTGCTTTTCAGTGTTGCTCCCTCCCCAGTGATCATCCCCATGTTCTGGGGTCACTCCAGCTACAAGGGTGTCATGGAGGGTCCCCAGCAACACTGTTGCAGCCAGTCCTGGCTAATTTGCCCATGGCTGGGCTAAAGTAGAAGGGAGGGGGGTTTCAGCATGTTTTGGAAGTCAGTGGAGCTGACCTGCCAGGCCTTGCATCATGGACACCTTGCTCCATTTTCATCCTCTGCATCCTGTGAGGAGCCAGGGACTGTGGGCAGGCTGGTCCATTGCTTCTCACTGACCAGTCCCTGGAGGGGCCTAGAGAGGCTGTGGGGATTCTCAGTAGGATATGCTGGCCCCTGGTGAACCCCTCTGTCTGCCGGCGCTGCTCCATGTCCCGCCTCATCCTTGCGCTGCTGCCACCGGAGCAGCACGGCCCCACTGTGTTGTGGCCCTGTTTGGCACCTCTGTTTCGTGGCTTGTGAGCACTGGTGACTCGGTCACCCTCATAAACACTGGTTCTGCGATGGCTCTGGCTTGTTGTGCTCTGTGTCCCCAAGACTCCTGGTGGGAAGCTGTTCCCCAGCCGATGCTCAGGAAAGCCCCCTAAAAGCGTGGGGAAAGGGTGGGTTGTGCTGCCCACTGCCACCCTGCTGCCACGGGGGTTCCAGTCACGAGGACAGGCTCCAGCCAGACCCTCAGAAACCAGGACCCCACAGGGCTGGGATAGGCTGGGACTTGAGCGTTACAGTACACAAATACACTGATACTCACCCGGATGGGCCTGACTCCCCTGTGAACAGCAAGGACGATGCTGAGCAGCAGCGGGACAGGATAACTAAAGCCAAAGGGATGGGACAACTTGTGCAATTAATAGGAATTAACAGATAACCTACAGATACCCCACCACTGCTCTTCTCTAGAGAAGTTTCTTTCCTGAGATAACAAAGTCCTTCTTCATTAAAAAAAGCAAGTGTTCAACAGACACCTGGGGAGGCAGAGGCTGAACCCTCCTTAGAAACTCGGGTTTTAATCTCAGCAGTAAGTCCATTGTCAGCTGGATAAAGGCGAGTAGAAAGAACCACAGAGATACAACAGGAGAAGGGAGCCTGGGGTGGGGCTGGGGAAGGGCAGGAAGGTTCTCACAGAGCAGGATGGGCTGAGGGTCACAACACTTTAATCCTTCCCTGGTGGAGGAAAGTCAATGGCAGTCATATTGCCAGGGCTGGGCTCTGCCAGCAGGGTTCTCAGTCAGCCTTTTAAGCTGACAAAGACCAGAGAGTTGTTGAATGAGCCTTTCAACCATCGATATTTAATCTATTTGAAATCGTTCATTTGTAAAAATGCACAGAAATCGCTGTTAGGCCACAGCACACAAAGCCAGCATGGGGACAGGGGACTGGCGGGGAATTAAAGGATTGAAGTGTAATTCCCAGGTGCCTGGGAGGCCAGTGGGGCCTCTTGAGCACACTTGTGTGTTGTTTTTTTAAACAGTGTTACAAAATTGGTCGGTTCGTGTGTCATACACCATCCTACTGCAGTAACATGCCCTGCACAAAATGTGTACAAACGATTTTTAACTGACTGCTCATTAATGCACACAGAAAAAAAGGGGGGTGACAGCAGCCACTGGCACCCCAGCAGCTCTCCAACAGGGATTTGTTTCTAAAAATTGTATCAGCAGGGAAAAAAATAAATCCAAACTAAACAGCATCAGCAGGGCTTTAAGATGGCAGCCTGTAATGTGAGAGAAAACATCATCTCCCCAAGTTGTACCTCCAATTCCAAACAGATTTAAAACTAAACCATCCCCATGTGCAGCTCCCAGAACTCCATTTCAAGCAGCCACTGCTTCCCTGTGCTGATCATACACCTGTTTTCCAGAGCAGTACCTTTCTCCAAATTAGCTTAAAAATAGAAATAAAGTCCTGTTTTCTGGGCAATGGTGTAATCAGGCTGCAGGAAATCAATCTAATGCCAGAGCTGCAGGGAAGTACGCAGGCCAGTGCTGGAGTGGCTGGTGCTGGGGCTCTGGGAACTGAGAAAGGCTTTAGGGGCCATGGGGCAGCTCTGGCACACGTGTTCCAGCTGGGCTAAGAGGGTTAATGTGAGCCCTGGATGATAATCCCCATGGATAGCGTGGGAGTGGGTAGGCAGCAGCTGGGGATGGCTGAGCCTTGCCAGTGATGCTGCTGGTCTGAGAAGACTGGGAGAGTAGCTACCAGGGCAATGCTGGTTTTTTGTACCCTGTCCCATAAGGCAGGTGCAAGGAGACAAGGAGAAACGCAAATCCAGAGGGGAATAACATGGGATTTGTACTAGAGAGAAAATCGATGCTGGGGCTGCCACCCACCCCCTTTAAATGGCAGTGAGTGACTGAGCCCATGGCCCTCAGCCTCGTCCCTGGGTGCAACTCGGAGATGCTCCAGGGATGGCCGTAAGAACTGAGCTCGTGATGATTTCAGAGGCTTCAGCACACAGGATCACTGCTGCTGCCCACACAGCCCCGGGGATGGGAGCCATGGGAGCTGCAGGGATCACTGGGCTGTGGGAGCCACAGGGATCACTGGGCAGTGGGACCCGCAGGGGTCCCTGGGCTCTTGCATGGGGAAGCACAGGAGAGCAGGAGTCACAGGGGAATAAGCAGTCACTGATGCACTTGCATAGCTGAGCCCTGTCTGTGCTGGAGGGAGGAGGAGGGGAGCCCCGAGCACTGGAAGGGAGTGGTGGACTGGCACTCAGGACAGAGCAGCTCCATGTCCTAATTAAACCACTTCCCATCCTCACATTCCTAAACTTTCCCTCCCTGCTCCCCCCCAGCGGCTCGGTGAGGCTGGCTGTAAGTAATCCTCTCGTTATCCCTGCCATTCTCCCCTCCTCCTCCTGCAGACACAGCCTCAGGATGAGGTAAGCATCACACTACCAGCAGCGGTCTATCTTGTTCCTACTGACGGCCGGGGAATGGCAGAGCATTAAAAGATGGCACAGACCAAGATGGTCTTGTTTTCCCCTCATCCCTCCACGACGTGCAGGTGCTCATGCACACGGGTCCACAAATCATTCCAGGAATTTTTGTGCTGTGTCTCAGCAGTCCCGGCAGCCAGGCTGCTCTGGGGCCACGGCTCTTCTCTGACTCACCACACTTTCTAAGGAGCAGGAATGTGCAGGCCTGTCCCAGTGGCAGACTCGGTTCCAACAGCAGATGCATCCACTGCATTCACTTTGGGAACAAAGAAGGAAAAGCCCATTTCCCCACATGTAACACACCACGCAGACACAAAACTGCAGACACCGGTCTCAGTGATCTTAGAAGTCTTTTCCAACCTTACAGATTCTATAAAAGGAGAACAAATCTTCCCCATGTGCACAGGAGACACGGCATGAAGCAACGGACTGCAACTGTCATGAGGGAGATTTAGGCAAGAGATCAGAAACACTTCTTGAGGCAATGACAGCTTGGCCTGAGGTTAGGAAACATCAGTCGTCCATCAGAGGGAAGGGGCTGCAGTTCCTCTGGAGCCAGGATGGCTGATTTCTCATGATCCCATGCTTCCCTTGCTAGACTGGAAGCATTTTAGGGCAGCACTGTGAGTTTCAATCCTTGCTGGGACAAGAGCCAAGGCACCTCTGGGCATGGCAGCATGCCTGATATCCTAAAGGACATGAAAGTCCTCAAGAAAAATGCTCAGAAAGCACAAAAAACCCCTTTTCTGTGTGTGGGGAGCAGCTGGAGCCACACTGCAGGATTGCTGCCCAGCCCCGACTCCAAACACACTTGTTAGTAGCTTCTACAGCTAAAACTTTGTGATCACCTATGTAACTTACACCAGAGGAGTTTCACATGGAATCAGGCAGTGAGCTTCCCTGGAGTAATAATGCTCATTTTCCAGAAACAGGCAGCTGGAGCAGTCCCAGAGTGCTGCAGCAAAACAAGCTGGCAGATATTCTAAGTGATGGGCAGCAAGGAGAGTCAAGGCCTCAAAAGGCCACTGAGCAAAGTGAGAGCTGCTCAAGAATTCAGGAAAAAATACCATTAGTGGCAATCAATATGGATTTGTGTAACCTCTGTGCTTTAATGGAGAGAGGAGCCTGGAAAGAGGCAGCAGTGCTGGCATGCTATAGCACCTTCAAGAGGCATCCAACTGCTACCTGGCAATTTACGTAAAGAAAATAAAAAGGAAAAATATGGAACTGACACTTGGACCAAAAAAAAAGGCTCAGTACTGGAACCATTGAGTCCCTCATGAACAGGGGACTCAAAAAATATTCTGTTGAGTTATTGCAACTTAAAGAGAACACAACTGAGTTTGTGGAAAGAGGAACTGGGATTCCAGCAGGGCAGATCACCAGCAAAATTGGCAATAACTGGTATAACAGAACTACAGTTCTCAGTGTAACTCTCCACATTAATTCCTCACAACCTTTTGCAGCAGCTGCCAAAGCACATCAAATCCCTCCAACTTTCCACACAAAACCTGCTCCGGCTGCCTGCTCCCACTTCTCCCGGCAGCCCTTATGGAGGGCAGATCCCACCCGTGCACGGAGCAGGCATGCACTCCTTTTCCCTCAGCCACCTCCTGACCTCATCAAACCCACAGGAGAACTGGATGCTCAACATTCAGGGACATCGCCCTGTAAAACACTGCTGGCTTACCTGGTGTTTTTAGGTTCCTAAATGGTATGTTGATAGGTATATTGAGCCTAAAACCACCCAGCTCTGACTTCAGTGACTAATGAATCCATGTGTGTCAAGGCAGAGCCAAGTGGATCTTCTCCTTGGTGTATTTTTTCATAGGACTTTAATTTGCATCTCTTCTTTGGACAGCACAGGAAGGACTAGGGGCAAAGGACATAACAGAAACAATAAATGGTGAGCAAGTATTTTAAAACATAAGTACTTACACTGATTTAAATCAAGGCCCATAAAGCTTCTATGTTCAATACATGCAGTTTTCATCTGGAGATTGAGGGGGTGGCAGGACGATTCTGATGGAGACAGCCCAGATTTACAGACCTCACAACATGCAAGAGACCCCTCCAAATGGTGTGGACAGACAGATGTGAGTCCAAGGTACAGGCTTGATTTACTGGATATGTAACAATAAAATGATTTACACATTTATTGGACAAACTTCACTAGGTAAATCATAGCATTATTTTCAAATAAAGAAGATAAATCTTATAGAATCGCAGAATCATTTAGGTTGGAAAACACCTCTAAGATCGAGTCCAATCATTAATCCAGCACTGCCAACTCACCACTAACCACTAACCTCAGTAGCCCCTTTCAGCCTGAGAGGCTGAAAAAAATGTTTCTTATTTTAATGAGTAAAATTTTAATAGAATAAGAACTGTATACAGACTACAAAACAATTTCTGTATTCATTTATCAGTTAGAAATTAAATAATTCAAAACATTCATTATAGTAATTTTGACTCTAAAAAAGGAAAAACTAGAAACAGAGAAAGGCAATATGTCAACACACTGGATGATTTTTCTCTCTTAGTTCCAAGGTCTGTATGATCCTGGGTCATTGATGGCTCTTGGACAGGCACAAGGCCAACAGCACATCATGGCATTCCCACTTGTTTAAACAGATGAGCTTCATATGAGCTCTCAGAGTTTAAAAACAGGAGTGAAAACAATTTCCACCTCCAAGCCTTTGGCCAAGGCAGCTGCCCTTGACTATGGAAATGGTTCTAGTTGATTTTAAGTTTCTTTAATCCAGTGTTTTCTGCTATTGCTGTTCCAAAAATTTTCCTGAAGAAAAAAATACATGAAACCAAACAGTTTAAGAGTTAAAAGTATTGAGTTTAAAAGGAAGATTGAGTTAGTTCAAGTATTTCTCTGCAACTGTCTCTATTACCTCTAGGCAATTAGAACTACAACATATTATTTCTTTTTCTACCTCATTTACCACAAACTCAAAGCAGAAGCTGCCAGTGAATCATCTGTGTTCTCTGACATCGGGTTGCCAACATAGCAAAGACTGAAAATCCAATCGCCATGACAAAGCTGGGGGCTGCTGCTCCTGCATGCAGCTGTGGCTGCCCAGCTCCTTCTCCAGCCTAACAGAGCCTGAAAGCCAACAGGAGCACCAGGCAGCTCCCACAGCCTCCCGCCAGCTGGTTCTGCTGGCAGAGCAGCCAGCTCTGCTCTCTTTAACCCCTCCCAGAGCCCCTGGAAATCAGAATAGGTTTCCTCAGCAAGTGTTCTGCAAGTTTCCAATGGGGCAGGAAAGAAATGAGGGTTCAACCAGCACAGAAGAAAAGGAAACCATTGCCAGGCTTGAATACCAGACTTGGGAGAACTGTTGGACTGTGAAAGGAACAGGAGGTGAGGCGGACAGGAGTGGAGACAAGCAGCCGCTGCAGCCTCCAAAGGTAAACATGAGGAAAAAAAGCAGAATGAAACTGGGAAGGATGCCAAGTGAACAGCTGATGGCCAGAAGCGATGAGGATTAAGGTTGTTTTCTTTCTTGAGAGCCAGAGAAGCCCACTGAAGACATGGAGGATGTTCAAGAAGGAAGCTATAGCGGGTGAGATGCGTGAGGATTGAGGGTTGTAAGGGAGTGGATGGAGAGGACGTTGAATTTTGCACAAAAGACACAAACCAGGGAGAACATGGATCTGGCAGACAGCACGAGGTGTGGCATGGAAGAGAAAAAATTCAGTATCTTCCTTTCTGAGTTTGCGCCTGTGGCAGTTTGAGCCACAATTAGAAATCTAAAATCCAATTTTTAGGCTTCCCCCACCCCTTCTCAACACTTTATCCTAACACCAGAGAGAACCTTTCAGGCCAGAGGCTTCTGTAGGGGAAGGGGGAAGTATATACATTTATTTACACAAATAAATGCTATACAAACTAAAGGCAACTACATATATATATATATATATTGCATTACTATCAGTCAGTCCTTTCAAGCCCCTCCTTTAACTTTAGTCCAGGAGCAGCCTTTAAGGCTGACATATAACACATTCTTTTGCTGTGGGAGTGTTCTGGGCTCCTGAACACTCCCTCCTCACCAAGTTCCAGCAGTTGTTTGTTGTAGTCTCTCCTCCTCATGAAGTCTGAGAAGACAGCTTTGAGTCCTTGCTCTTCTGTTGCTGGTGATTTCTCCCTCTCCGTGTCTCACCTCAGTTCGTAAGCTGCTGTAGTGTATCTTAGCTTATCAAGCGTCCACATCCTGGAATCTTCATTCCTCCACAGCAGTTCTCGGCTGCCCCCGGTCAGCTTCGGCAGGCAACTCTCGAGCTCTTGACTCGTCTCCAATTTCGCCTGGGACTCTTCTTCCGAGTGCTGGGCCTACCTCCACGGCCCACTCTCTTGGCTCAGCTTCAATTCTGAGCCCCTCCTCCACTTACAGTGGAGGGAAAGAAAAAGCCCCCCTCTACAGCTTCACTGCAGAAAAGGAGGGGGAAGAGAGGGCTTGGCTGCAAAGCCTGCCTCTCTCCTCTTTCCTCAGGTGCTGTGAATCTCTTCCTTCACAGCACACACTCCAAATGCTGACTCTAGCCAAAGGCTGAGCTGGGAGGTTGCAGGACTCCCCTCTCCCCCCTCGAGAGGAAGAGAGGGAGCCCAGCCACCCCCTGGCCTTGTCCACCGACATGCAGCAGACACTAACAGCAAAACAACCAAGACTGCACTGCCAACCACTTCCGGTGCTGTGATATATCATTTTGAGCAGAAGCGAACAACATGGACAGTGACTGTCTCTCCAGGGAACACTGCCCTGGCACTCAATCACCTCTGAGCCCCCCCAGCTTCTCAGGGGGGGCCAATTTCAAACTATGACAGCGCCCATCACAGACAGTGCTGGAAGTAGAGAGATTTGGAGCACAGCTGCAGGGTGAGACCAGGAGTAGGGAGATTTGTGAATCTTCCTCTTGGAGATACACGTCTGGGGTTGCCCAAGGACAGCCGTAGATGGAGAAGGTGAAGTCTGTGACAGGAAGGTGCAAAAAGGAGAGGAGCCTAAAGGCTGAAAGGTGAGGGATGAGCCATGACCTCCCTAGGCATGTTCTGCACAAGTGGAGAGTCCAGAGGAATGGATAGGGAGTTCATCACAGCACAAGCGAGCCTGGTGACACTAGTGCTGACAAAGGCCCAGGGAGCAGTAGCTGAGTTTCATCTCACCACACAGGAGTGCTATGAACACACGGGTGTAGAGTTAAATAACAGCTGCTTAAAGTCAGGAGCCAAAGGAAAAGAGCACTATGCAGTAACAAGGTTGAGACCAACAAGAAAAAAAATAGTCAAAGTCACTAGCAAAGGGAGTCCCCAAACACAGGCTGACAAGGGTGTACATAAGTACAAGATTCCCCTTCAAAAATAATTTCAAGCTTTGCTAGGAAAGACTGGATATAGTTTAATTTATGTTGCTAAAGGATTAATTTATCTTCCCATAAAAATGATGAAAAATACTTCTGCTGTCACTATTCATGATGCAGAGGAAATGGAAAAGGTTGTGGCCCACTGTGCCCCACAATGTACCTCTCTGGGCATCACTTCTATGCGGCAGTCTGTGAGTACACCCGGAGAAAGTGCCCCTTTAGTTTACTTACAGCTGCTCTGAATCTTGACCTTGACATTGAAGCCTGTATTACTCCCAGAATCCTGCTCTCTGTCAGTGGGAATTCTAATTTCAAAAATATTTACAGTTAAACAGAAGCATGGCCATGACCTTGTGATTATAAAACACAACCTGGTCTAGCGGAAGGTGTCCCTACCTGTGGCAGGGGTGCGGCTGGATAGGCCTTACGGTTCCTTCCAGCCCAGTTCCCTCAGTGACTGTGTGGCTGTGGTTCGGGCTCAGGGTGACGGAGGGGACGGCCCGCCCAGCTCGTTGCGGCCCGCTCCGCCCGCCGCCATCTCCTGGCCGGGGGGCCGCGCCGCTGCCATGGCAACGGGGGCGGGGGGCCGCAGTGCCGGGGTGCCCCCCACCGCCGAGTCTCAGTCCCTCGCGGGTGTCCGCCAACCCCGCACCCCGTGGCCTCTGTCCCCGCCGTGTCCGCCTTTCCTCCTCCGTGCGCCATGCCGGGCTCGCGCTGCGGCTCCTGCTTCGACTACAAGACGGCCAAGTTCTCGCTGAGACGCGGAACCGGCGGGTGGGGCTCCTGCACCGGCTGCTGCAGCTGAGCGCGCTGGGCTACCTCTGGGGTAGGGATGCCTGCCTCTGCCCTCGGGGGGCGGCCGGGGGTTCCTGCTGGGGTAGGGACCCCCCGCCCCTGCCCTCGGGGGCGGCCGGGGGTCCCTCAGCGTCCGCCCCCCCGCCCGCAGGTGGGTGCTGCTGCTGCGGAAGGGGTACCAGGAGCGCGACGGCGGCCACCGCGTGTCGCCAGTGGTCACCAAAGGTGAAGGGGGCGGCTCCCGCCCGGGGCCGCGGGCCGGCGGCTCTGGGACGCGGCGGATCTCACCTGGCCCCCGCAGGTACGGCCGGGCCCCGGGCGGGGGCAGGGGGGGCACATAGGAGGTCAATCCCCTTGGCAAGGGAACGCCGCCGGTACCATTGGCCTCCCAAAGCCCAAACGTGGCCATTACTGCCTGTTCCTCCCGGTGACAGTGTCACAGGGTATCCCCTGGACCCACCCTGGTGTCACCCTCCTCACTGATGGTACCTTCTTGCTTCCCAGGGAGAAAATGTGCTTTTTCTGGTGACCAATTTCATTGCCACAGCCCAGCAGGCCCAGGGCACCTGTCCCGAGGTGAGTGCCAGGGCTGCCCCAGCCCAGCCCCCAGGGGGTGGTGGAACCCAGAGGAAGACCAGATAAAAGGGGAAAATGGATTTATATTCCCAACAAACCTGATTCCCCTCATTCGCACTGCTCCATAGCTCTTCCATGCTCATCTGCACTTGCTCTGTCATGCCTGCATGAGCCAAGGTGTATATCCATGCTCTCTGGCCAGAACTGCTTGTGGTGACCAGGACAAAGGACACTTGGGGCCTCACCAGCTCTGGGCTCCTTGGGTGGTGGCACTGTATGACCATTCCAGGCTTTCTGCTGCCCTCGAACGAGGGGATGCTTTGACACACAGTCCATGGATACCTGTGTCTTGTTTCCTTGATAAGTCCTTGCTGCAGGACTAATGTCCATCTTAGCATCCTGTTTTTAGGAGGAACAAAACACAAGGTCTAGGTGGTTTCCCAGCCAGCCAACACTTAGTGGTATATGTTCTCTGAGAGAAGTCTTCCCTTTAAGACTGGGGTCAGGCCAGCTCCCTCCACTGAGCTCTCCCAGGCTGGACCTGGCTTGGTAGATGGGAGCAAATGTCCTTTAAGCTGAGCTGCTCCTGGCACCTTGTGCCTGAGCCAAGCACTGATTGTCCTAATGGTCCCTTCAGCTCCTGCTGTGGCCAGATGCTGTGGGAGAGGAGGAGCAACCCTGGTTTTGGGTCAGGGAAAATGGCACTAATGATCCATCTTTCAAATGCTGACAACCCCTGAAGTCCTGACAGGGAGGAAGACAAGTGCTGTAGGGCATTTTAGGGCTCTCACAGGCAGCCACAGGCATCTCTCGGTGCTAGTTTTGCAGTGTGCAAGCCAAGGACACAGAGCAGAGGATTTCGTCCCGTTTCAGTGCTGGAGTGTGTGTGGGTGCCTGTCCCAGCCTGCACCCCATGCTGATCTCCTCAGGTTCTGGCTTTGAGGCTGTAGGTGACATTCATATTTGAAAAGCTTTGAAGATTTGGCAGTGACAGCTTTTGGCTTTGCGGGGAGTTAGAGCAGTCTGAATATTCTCTGACTGTTCTTGATGACCAAAGTATTCAGTGCTGGCAGATCAGTGTGTCTGGGGCCAGAAGCAGCACCAAACACAAGCCGAGCTGTTTTAGCAGCTGTACACACAGTTACTCCTTGCATCCTTTTATCCCTCTATTTTCCAATGTTTGTTCCTTTTCGGTCCACCTAGTTCCCTCCTTTCCATGCCTTCTCTTCCTTCCCTAAACAACCCATCCCCTAAAACACCTGTGCAATACCCAAATGTTCTCCTGCATCCCATAATGACTCTATACCCCTAGGCAGTGAGCCCCCACCCAGCCCAAAGGTGCTGCTCATCTTGGCTCACCTTAGTGGGTTTCACACCTAAACAAGAGGCTGAGGCTGTCCTGTGGCAGCCCTGGGAAGGCCTGGACAGACCCCCACTTCTTCTGACTCCATAACAGGGGGGTTCCCTGCCTGCATTTGAGCCTCTGTGCCCCCTGGGTCTTGGGGAGGTGGGTTTCTAATGGGCTAATGACTCCTGCCATGGCCTGGGGTAGCTGGAGAAGGTGTTAGTGGTATTCCCCCACCTGCCATCATCTCTCTGTGTTTGAATAAGAGGTTTTTACCGCTCCTGGGAACCAGGTAGGTCCAGAGTGAGGGCGAAGCTTTCCCTGTCTCTTGTAAAACTTGTGTTATGCTGGATTTAGGTCTACTAAGCTCTTCCCCAGGGCATTTGTTGTGGTGCTTTACAAGGTGCTTAATGGGCTCAGTCATTGAGGCCCTCATTCTGGTTCCCAGTTCCAGCTGAAAGGTCTGAGTTAGCTCTGGAGAATTCCTCTGCCTCTGAGGAGCAGGAGACATGTGCTCCCAATAGCATGGAGACAGATGGGAAGGATTGTCCCTCAGACATGCCTCTCTCCTCATTGGCTGGAGGCTGTCCAGGGTCTGGACGTGGTGAATGGTCTTTAACTGTTTGGGAAGTGCTTGGAGAAACAGGAGTAGAGGCACAGCAATGGGGGTGAGTGACAGCATGGCCTCAGCTGGCTGCACAGCACAATGACAGCGCTTGTCTCTTGTCCCTTCCAGAGCCCCTCTGTCCTTGACGCGATGTGCACAGAAGATGCAGATTGTCCCATGGGAAACCCTGTGGTTCATGGCAATGGTACTGGGAGTTTTGCTTAATAAACATAAAATCCTAGAATGGTTTGGGTTGAAAGAGAACTTAAAGCTCATCCAGTCCCACTCTCCTGCCATGGCAGGGACACTAGCCCAGGTTGCTCCAAGCTCCGTCCAACCTGGCCTTGAACACTTCCAGAGATGGGGCAGCCACAACTGCTCTGGCCAGCCTGTGCCAGGGCCTCACCACCCTCACAGGGGAGAATATCCCATCTAACCCTGCCCTATGGCAGTGGGAAACCATTCCCCCTTGTCCTGTCATTCCAGACTGTTGTCCCAAGTCCCTCTCCAGCTTTCTTGGAGCCCATTTAGGCACTGGAAGAGGCTCTAAGGTCTCCCTGGAGCCTTCTCTTCTCCAGGCTGATGAACCCCAACTCTCTCAGCCTATCTTACATTCTCTCATTTTTAGGGATAAAAACTGGGAAATGTGTGATGTTCAATGCCACCCGTTCCACCTGTGAGATCTATGGCTGGTGTCCTGTGGAGAACAGTACCCTGCCCAGGTAATCACAGATAAGGGGATAGCAGGTATTGGGAGCTTTGATTTCTTCCCTCTGTCTAACCAGGAGCCTGACCCTGAGACTCGCCCAAGGGCAACTGTGTTCAGGGAGACCTTTGACATCAGTCTCCCAGTCAGTTAAGGTCAGAGAACTTTACGCAAGAGCGTTTCTTGCAGCTGTCCATTGTGGCCAAAATTTTGGGATTGCGGATGAGGCTGTGGAGCTTGGGGAATGGGGCTGTGCCTTGGCCACTGTGCAAGACTTGAGTTCATTGGTGGTTGTTTTCCAGGAAACCTCTTCTGGCTGAGGCGGAGAATTTCACTCTCTTTATAAAAAACACTGTCCACTTCACCAAATTTAACTTCTCCAAGTAAGTACGGTGCTTCCCAGCCAACCTCAGCCCAGTCCAGCCTCAGCACTGAGCCTACCTGTCGTGGGGCTGAGCACCTGAGGCTATGTGAAGCCATGTGCCACCCAGGACAGGTGGTGCTGGGCAGTTACAGGCAGGATGGATGTTCAGGTGAACACCCTACGTGTGCAGCTGTAAAAGCAGTGGGATGGGACACCTCAGAGAGAGGGACTGGTCATGCCCATGTAGAGCACTGCAGAAAGCTGGACTAGGCCATCCAGGGAGTGAGACTAATATTTTTGCCTTAGTCCTTGCAAAGTGGTTTCACAGAAGCCAGGTAAAGGGCTGCACTGGCCTCGCAACCCCAGGCATGCTGACTGTGCTGCCTTACCCTGGCAGAAGATGCAGTGTGGGGCAGCTGAACTGTCCCTGCTGTCACCCCTGGAGCACTGAGTCGAGCTGGGTGGGAGCTGGGTGCTGGGGGAGAAAGAAGAAACACAGGGAGGTACAGGGGAAGGCTATGGCAGATGCTATGAAAGATGAATACTCTCTGTGATTCCTCTGGGATGGTTTTACTCCACCCTCTCTCCATCTGAGGCTTTAGGCAAGGCAATGACTTTCCCCTCACTGAGAGCACTGGGGGGCCCACTCCAGCAGGAGGGTCCCCTTTTCAGTCCCACAGACAGGCTCTATGACCTCCCACACTCTGTCCCCCCGCCCCTGCTGTCTCAGGTGCAACACTTTACAAACCAGTGACCCCAGCTATTTCAAGAGCTGCACATATGATCCAGTCTTCAATCCCTTCTGTCCTGTGTTCCGTGTACGTAACATGGTGGAGGCAGCTGGAGAGCACTTCGGAGACCTCGCACTGCTGGTACTTGGTTTTTATAGAAGTATGGAAGATGACTCAAAATTCCCCAAGGATGTGAGCAAGAGGCAGAGGACAGGACTGACTCTGAAATGCTAAGGGAATGTATGATCTAGGAATGTCTGAACAGTAAAGAACTCAGCCAGTTTCTGATCCCATGCTTCTCCTGGAGTAAAATGTGTTTTGCAGGGGGGGAGCATTGGAGTTCTCATCAAGTGGGACTGCGACCTGGACCACCCTGCTGCCCAGTGCCAGCCACAGTATTTCTTCAGCCTGCAGGACACAAGGTACAATTTCAGGTGAGGATGCTGGGACAGTGGCCACATGGGGCTGTGGGATGAGAACACTGCAGTCATTTGAGATCTCAGTTCTGATGGGTGCTCTGATGGGGCACATTTTGCAGATGTCATTTGCAAACTCACCTTCACTTGGTTCACCAGTCTGGGTGGGAGTGTTGGTATGCTGGAGGGCAGGAGGCTCTGCAGAGGGATCTGGACAAGCTGGATCCATGGGGTGAGGCCAGTGGTGTGAGGTTCAACAAGGCCAAGTACCGGGTCCTGCATTTGGGCAACAACAGCGCCATGGAATGCTACAGGCTGGGGGCAGAGTGGCTGGAAAGCTGCAGGCAGAAAAGGACCTGGAGGTGAATGTGAGCCCAGGTTGGTAAGGCCAAGGACACCTGGACTGTACCAGCAATGGTGTGGCAGCAGGACCAGGGCAGTGACTCTCCTCCTGCCAAGAAAGACGTTGAGGGGCTGGAGCATGTCCAGAGGTGGGCAGGAGAGCTGTGGAAAGGTCTGGAGCACAAGTCTGATCAGGAGCGGCTGAGGGAGCTGAAGGGGCTCAGCCTGGAGAAAAGGAGGCTCAGGGGGGACATTCTCACTCTCTACAACTCTCTGATGGGAGGGTGGAGCCAGGTGAGGGTTGGGCTCTGCTCCCAAGTAACAGTAGACAGGATGAGAGGAAACAGCCTCAAGTTGTACTAAAGGAGATTTAGATTGGGTATTTGGGAAAATTTCTTCACAAAAAGGGCTGTCCAGCCCGGCAGAGGCTGCCCAGGGTGGTGGTGGATTCGCCATCCCTGGAGGGATTTAAAGGCTGTGTAGTTGTGGCACTTGGGGATGTGGGTTAGTGGAGAACATGGTGGTGCTGGGTTAAGGGTTGGACTTGATGATCTTAGAGGGCTTTTCAACCTGAATGGTTCTGTGATTCCAAGACGATAGGAAATGGTAAATCAGGGTAGGGCCTGTTAGTACCAGGATGCTGTGGCAGATCTGCTGTGTTTGGAGCTATGCATGGCATTACTTCCCTGAGGCAGGGTTCTCTGGCTGTCCACACCTGAACTGGGTGCACTGGGAGCTGTGTTTTCCCAGACTGGGTGCTGAGGGGATGCAGATGCCCCACTGCTGATGCCAGCCAGTGAGTCGTGGCAACACGTGTATCACCCAGGTCCCAACCTGGAGGACACCAGGTGTGCAGAGGTACACGGTAGCCCCAGCAATTCTTTGGCACTGGCAGCCCACTTCCCTCACTGCTTTCTGAGGTGTGTCCAATGTCTCCCACAGAACTGCCTCTTACTATTGGGGCTCCCAGCGGCAGCTCTACCGGAACCTGCTGAAGCTTTACGGCCTCCGCTTCGACATCTCCGTGCACGGCCAGGTACACATCCTGCGCAGCCCCGGCCGCCCCCAGGGCTGACTGCTCGCACCACTCCCCGCTGCTCTCCTGCAACCACCCCTGTGGCTTCCTGCTGCTGTTGCTTCATCCTGGTGAGCTCTTCACCTCTTCCCAGAGTTTTCCAAGTAGAGTGGGAGAAAATTATCTCTTTCATTTAAAGAAAAACCTCTTGGTTATTCCCTGAGCAGGGAGGCTTCCCTCCCTGAGGGTCTGACACAGGGGCTGTGAAATGTTGTGTAGGCAAGGTGAGCTGGTCTGGGACTATGGGCATCTCTGAGGGTCTTGAGGGGGAAGCACCCTGCCAAAGGACAACCTGAACTCTTCTGAACCTGGACAATTAATCCCCTTTTGATTAATTGTACCCTCAGGGACAAAAGGTGTGGGCATGATCATGGCTAGACATGGCCCAGCCATGTGAGCTGAGAGCCCTGAAACCTCCAGTGTCCTGGGCTCCTCCCACAGCATGGGCAGTAGATGAGAGGAGGATTCTGCCCCTCTGCCCTGCTCAGGTGAGACTCCACCTGTAGAGCTGCTTCCAGCTCTGCGGTCCCTAACATAACAAGAACGTGGAGCTGCTGGAGCAAGTCCAGAGGAGGCCACAGAGATGTTCTGGGGCTGGAGCCCCTCTGCTCTGGAGCCAGGCTGGGAGAGCTGGGGGTATTCACCTGGAGAAGAGAAGGCTCCAGGGAGACCTTAGAGTCCCTTCCAGTGCCTAAAGGGGCTCCAAGAGAGCTAGAGAGGGACTTTGGACAACAGCCTGGAGTGACAGGATCAGGAGGAATGGCTTCCCACTGCCAGAGGGCAGGGTTAGATGGGATATTGGGAAGGAATTCTTCCCTGTGAGGGTGGGGAGGCCCTGGCCCAGGTTGGCCAGAGAAGCTGTGGCTGCCCCATCCCTGAAAGTGTCCAAGGCCCGGCTGGACAGAGCTTGGAGCAACCTGGTCTAGTGAAAGGTATCTGTGTCCATGGTAGAGGGGTGGAATGAGATGATCTTTAAGGCCCCTTCCAACCCAAACCATTCCATGATTCTGTGATCGCTGACACTACTCTGTGTGCTCAGCTGTGCAAGAAGGAGTCTGTACTGAGAGCTCTTGGCACCCTGAGAGATGTCCACAGCTGGACTGTCATGCTCAGCAGCGCCCTTTGCACCTGAAGAAGGTGAAGCACTGTGCTGGTTTAAAGGTAAACCAGCAGGGGAAATGAACTCAACTCAAAAGAGAGACTATAAGTCAGAATAACAATTTAATAAAATAATACAATAAGTACAATTATACAGACAAACAATTGGTTTTAACTCACAAAACCCAAATGTATAACCCAGCACATTGGGGCAATGAACAGAGTGGTGTTCTTTGGGCCCCCTGAGTCCAAAGGAAAAGTGAGGGGAAAACCTGCTGGTGGGAGAGCTGTTGCAGTCTGGTCAAAGTGGTGATTGCAGTCCAGTTGAGGGTGGTGGTCTCAGTCTGGTTGAGAGCGGTGAGCTGCAGTCTTCCTCTGGATCCCATGAGTGGTAAAAAGGTTCCAAAACTTCAAGTTTATATATTCTCCAGTTCAGGCAGGAATGCTCAGTCCTTCCCTCAGAGCGGGGAATTCCATAAAAGGGTATGAGGACAGGAACATCTTCCTATCTCACAGGCCTCTACTGCTAACAATTTCTGGGAAATGGCATGGAAGGCTATAGAATACACAGTTGTGGGTTACACCCATACCATGATGAACTGGTCTCAGCTGTCCTAACTAGGACAAGCACACATCATAGGACAGGATGCACCACTTCTGGGTAGTGAGGGCAGGTCCAGCAGCAGGAGAGAAAGCTGGGAGAGAGACTGTAACCCCAAAATCTCTTCCCCCCACAGACCACCAGACTCATTTGAGCAGAGAGGGACACATCGCATCAGGGCCATGTTTGCTGGGATATGGTTCCATGGGTGGCAGCTGCAGCAAGAGGGAGGCTCCTGCCATGCCTGGGGGAGCAGGTGGGTCACAGTAACTTCTGCTGCCACCAGGTCACCAGCTGTCAGTTCCTTCTTTGACAGCCAAAGGGGCTTGGAGTCAGTGCAACAGCAATTCCTAGAGCTGGGCATGGAGAAATGTTCCTGGATCCCTCCTGCACACCCCAACTTTGTAGGAGGCATGTCCAGGAGTGCAGGGGACGCACCAAGGGCAGGGAAGCCCAGGGGACATGCACCGAAATAGACAACCCCATTGGTCACAAGGTCACATGGTTTTAAGGGATAAAAAGGGCGCTGAGTTTGAATTAAAGCCTCTTTGATTACCATCTGATCAGGGAGCAGACTCCATTTCTTTATCATATAAAGACTCCATGTTACACAACTTTAAGCACACTGCCCCACAGCCCACACCCCTCTCATCACTCTCTACCCACTGTCTTCCCTCCACTATTTCTCACCAGGCTGGGAAGTTCAGCATCATTCCTACTGCCGTGAGCTTTGGCACAAGCATTGCCTTCTTTGGTGCTGTGAGTACTCCAGATACGCTCTTTTCCTTCAGTCCATGGCTTGGGATTTGCCACTCATCAGTTGTTTCCCTGCCTGCCTGGGCACAAGGCTTCCTGGGTGCCAGTCAGCGTGAACAGGAGATGGTCTGGCAGGGTGTCAGCTCCTGTTTCCCTGTGACCATTAGCAGTAATGACAGCACTGGGATCCTGAGCGCTGTCAGGGTCATGTCTCGCGGAGGCTGGGTGTTTGTGTGGGCCCTGGGAAGGAGCATCGCTGGGATGCTGCTGGCAGGGAAGAGCAGCTCCTCTCTCTGCTTCTCCCCTGACTCTAAAGTGACCTGGTGTCCTGTCACCAGATGGGGCAGCTCCTCATAGAGCCCTTATATGGCTCATCCCTTCCAGCAGGTAACTGGAAGGGAGCCTGAGGTCCCCCACCTGCCCCCTCTTTCGTCCCTAACATGCTCATCCCAGTCCATACACAGCTGTGAGGGCACTGGAAGAGCACTCCCTGTGTCCTTCCATTGCAGCCCAGGTGATCCTGTCTGACCTCCTGTGCAGCTCATGGGAGCCTGTTGGGTCAGAGAGGAGCCATTGGAGTTGGCAGGTGACCTGGCCAGAGGCAGGGCTGGCTCGCTGCCCTCAGCACTGGCCCACAGCCAGCTGCGGGGCTCAGTGGGAGCCAGGGTGGAGGGCTAGACATTCCAGCGGGAAGTTTCCCTGCGTACAGTCTTCAACATCTGTCTGTCTCCAGGCTACAGTGGTCTGTGACCTAGTTCTGCTCTACCTGGATGCAAAGGCTGACCTGTATTGGAAGGAGAAGTTCGAGGAGGTAAGGGTGGGACCACATGGGAGAGAGAAGGTTGGAGTGAAGGTTTTTGGAGTGAATAATTTTATGATTTTCTGCCCTTTGGTTAAAACTCAGTTCACAAGATCTGGGAAGATCCTGGTGGAGCAGCTCTTAGTCTCCAGCTTTTGGGCTTGATGGCTGGTCTGAACTGGGAGAGGGATGCAGCTGGTACCAAGACTCAGGGAAAGCTGCATCACAACCTCAGTTCCTGTTGGACAGCAAGGGGTCCCCATGGGGACCTTACCTGGAAATGTGACCCAGCTCCACACTTATTCTTCTTTCAAAGGGAATCTGGCTGGACTCCATGCAGAGAGAGGGCAGTTCTTCAAAGCACATCCTGTGCTGCAGTTCAGTGACAGATTTTCATGCCTCACATGATTCCTGCTGTGGGAATTCACTTTCTTGGTGAATCAGTGAGTCACAGGGAGGCCCCCACAGAGCAGGAGAGCTGCCAGCCCTGCCTCAGTTCATCTCCAGCTTTGTCTGGCCAAGTCTTTGGAGCTTCTGAGGACTGAGATCCACCAGCTCCTTGGTGAACTGCCCCAGGGCTGCACCATCCTGCTGGTGGAGAATGTTCCTCATGCCAGATCTCAAATCAGGAGCGGAGTGGGAGTCTTAGAGAGTGAATCTGTTCTCATGAGACCAAGGAGAGCAGTGCAGGTCCACCTGGGCCATCCCCGTGCCTGTTGTACTGTTACCCCTGTTCATTTTTCAGGCAAAACCCCCTAAAGGTAAGCCCGAGGCCTCAGCTTATGGACATCGGGAATGCTCCACCACAAGCACCCTTCCCTCCAGAGCCACTTCCAGGTAGACGTGATGGGGGCATGGCTGCGGCCCAGGTGGAGGTGGGCCAGTCCTGGCCCAGGTGTGCACTGCTGGGGTTAAGGTCTGCCTTTCCTGGAGAAACATTGGCAGTGGCAGCAGCAGCAGTTCTTGGCTCTTGGAACACAAAGCCATCCCAGCTGCCACTACCAGCACTGATAACTGGTGCCGGAGCAGAGCTGTGCTGGGCAAAAGAGGCTTAAACCTCTTTATGTTTCTCCACATTCTGATGGCTGTGGGCTTTGATTTCCCATGAAAACCAGAGATGCAATGGAATAAAGCTGTTCCAAAAGTGGGAGGTGGCTCTGCTCTGTCTCAAGCCCTGCGAGTGGCTGTCAAGTTTTGGGATGCTGCTCTCGCACCTCGCAGCACCCTGCATGCTTCCAGCTGGGATGGCTTCATGTAAGCTGCCCAGATCCTCAGGAGATCCCTGGGAAGCTCAGAGAGGATTTAAGAGCCCAGTTTAAGGCTCCAGCCCTGAGCTGGTACTTCCTGGGGGGTGCAGTGGCTTCTGCACCCCCAGTTCCTGCCTCCTGCCAGGGCTGATGCTCAGCAAGGACAGGCACAGCCCTGGGGCTAGCCGGAGTGTTTCAGAGGGGCTGATCCCTCATTCCCACCTGCCTCGGGCTGTATCAGCCTGGTGCAGGGCAGGGTTTGGCCAGGTCCGTGCCCAGGGACTGCTCTCTGAACTCCACAAGGCTCAAAAACACAGTATCTGTGGGTTCAAGCACCATTTAATGTTCCCTACTGGGACTGACTACATGGTTTGGAGGGGTCCTGCAGCATCACCTCACCTCAGCTGCCTGCCCCCCTGTGCCCCCTGGCCGGCCCCTCCTGCCCTCCTGGAAATGCTGCAGGTAGAACTGTGCCGCCAGCTGCTTGGTCATGGTCTTCAGCGCCAGGAAGGCAGCCACAATCTCGGCGAGGAGGAAGGCCAGGAACAGGCTGTGCATGGGCATCTCCAGTGGCAAGTGAATGACCTGGCTGTCTGTCAGCAGGAAGAGCAGGAGGGGCAGCTGGATCAGGAAGGAGAGTAGCAGGAACCCAGCCAGCTCAGGCACCTGCAGGAGCAGAACCTGCTGAGATGGGATAAGGAGGCAGCGGTGGGGTGGGGGGACCCTCTGTGACCCAGGAGCTCCCTGCATCACTGCCAGCCTTGGCACCCAGGTATCGGGGACGTCCTTGCCACGCAGAGCTGTGGTCGGATGTGGTGAGATGCTGTCAAACCCAGTGCTGGAGGGTTGCACCCACAGGAAGGATACAGCAGGAGGGTGAGTGGATCTCCTTTGTCTCCTGCCTTCAGGTCCTGCCTGCACCCATCATTCCCTCCTGGGACAACTCCAGGCAGAACTCCAGGAGGAAGGGGCAGTGATGGGCACTTGGGTTCCAAGTGAGGGGCCATCAAGCTCCCCCAGCTGGGCTGACCCTCACTGAGTATAAGGGGTTTGTGTGCCAGGGCAGGTGGTGTTTACCTTCTCCTGGAGATTGCCCAGGTAGCCCAGGTAGAGTCGGGAGGCCTCAGCCAGCGAGAGAATGAGGAAGGCTGTGACCAGCAGGAACTGGTAGTGCCAAGGCAGGAGGTGGTACTGTAAATGGGAGCACAGCCTTGTCCCAGTCAGCTCCAGCCCCTGCATCCCAGTCCAGCTGTCCATGCCCAGTTTCCCATCCCCTGTGCACCATTCCCTGCGCTCAATTCCCAGATACCTGTGCCCTTCTCTCATCCCATTTGCCCTGTCCCCTGCACCCCATGCCCAGTGCCTGGGCCCTCCTCCCCATACCCAGTGCTCCATTCTCTGCCAGCTTCCACCAGGCTGGTGCTCAGCTCTGCCCACTTTTCTCTCCCAGTTTAACCTTTCCTGCCTGGAAAGTTCATGATTTCCATTTCTGGCAGCCAGAGATGAGCCATCTCGTCTCATGGGGGTCAGGGCATTTTGGAGACCCATTAATTCTGAAGAGGCTCCCCTGTCCCCTGTTCACTGTTTCTCCCCTATGACAAGGGAGGCTGGGCAGGAGCAACTCCCCCCTCCCCATGTGCCCCATGGGACAGTACCTTCAGCTGCAGCATCATTCCCTCAGCCAGGCACCAGACGGGGAAGTAGTAGACGTTGAAGTAGAGCATCACCTGGAGGGGCAGGCTGGCCAGCACCTCGTGGGCTAGGCAGGATGGGCAGGGGTGGGCAGGCTGCTCAGCAACTCTGGTGTCCCCCTATTCAGAGGGACCCCCACTTGCAGCTCATGGAATGGAGCAATAGCCCTTGGGTACCACAAACAGCTCTTTGCAGCAAATGTTCTTATTTTTGCTCCCCTCCTTGGTGGGGGAGGTACAGAGACCCTTTGGGTGCTCCTGGCTCTGAGGCACCCAGGTGCTTTGGTGATGTGCTGAGCACGCTCATGGTGATAACCCCCTCCCCAAATCCCCCTCCGCAGAGCCCCACTGCCCATACCTGGCTGGTAGATGTGGGCAGTGCCGCTATCCTGTGTCTTATTGGTGATGAAGAGGGAGCCGCTGAACGCCACCAAGCCCCGGCGCAGGTTGGGGGGCAGCGGGGTGTGCGCGGCCATGGCTGACAGCTGAGCCCTGCTCGCCCCAGCCCGGCTCAGCCAGGATTAGCCAGGAGGGAATCAGTGGGATGGCAGGTCAGGCTAATGCGCGGGGCCACCCGGCCATTGGCTCGCTGGGAACAGGGCTACTGAGCTGGGAGGGGGTTGTGGGGAAGAACTGCCACCTTGGAACATCAAGCCTACATGGCAGTCACAGGGTGGAGTTGCAAAGGAGTTGCCAAGTCAAAAGCATCTCCCCTCCACAGTACCTTTAGGGGGTGAGCAGCAGGTTGTAACCATCACCATGACTGGGACACAGTGGTAAACTAAGCAACTGCACCCTCTCCCAGCCAGGCTATATCAGCATAATTACTGCTCAAAGCCCCCTGACAGAGGAGGATGCCACACAAAAGAATGATGCTCTTCACCTGTAATGCTTCTTCGAGGCCTCCAGGCTCATGGAGCATTTACCCATGCCCGTGATCTCCCCTGCTAACAGGCTGCCCTTGTAGACCTCCACGCTGCTCAGTGTCCCAAGACTCCATCCAGGCTCAGGCAGTGGGGGATGGTGTGTGAGGGGTTGGTTGAGCCAGAGATGAATGGCAGGGAAAGGAGATGGCACTGCAGGGACTTCAAATTTAAAATAACAGAATCATTAAGGTCAGAAAAGTCCTCTAAGACCAATAAGTGCAACCAATTAACCCTGCACTGCCAGGTATCCCACTAAACCATGTCCCCAAGTCCAACATCTACACATTTTTTTAACACTTCCAGGGATGGAGGCTCCACCACTGCCCTGGGCAGCCTGTGAAAGGGCTGGACAACCCTTTCCATAAAGAAATTTTCCCTAATATCCAACCTAAACATCCCCTGGTGCAACCTGAGGCCATTTCCTCTCACCTGGCCAGTTGTTATTGGGGAGCAGAACCTGACCACCATCTGGCTCCACTCTCCTTTCATGGAGCTGGAGACAGCAAGAAGGTCACCTGTGAGCCTCCTTTTCTCTGGGCTGAGCACCCCCAGCTCTCTCAGCCACTCCTCATCAGACTTGTGCTCCAGACCCTTGCACAGCTCGGTTGCCCTTCTCTGGACACGCTCTGTTAGTCCTACCCAACAGATGTGGTCTCATTTCATGATCTTCAGCCTCCAACCCACCCCATAAGGCATATCAGAGAAGCTGCCTCAAATAGTGGGAGTGAATGCCGCAAATGTGGTCTTTGAGGGCCAGGCACTGGCAAGGGACACAAGAAACCAAAGAAAGAGAGGATTCTTCTGCTTGATAAAGCCAAAATGAAACTGCAGAGCTCCCTGCCATATGCTGCCAAAAACAAACCATCCGGGGCTGAAAGTGTAGTAGACCAATGCCTGACTGACTGAAGTCATCGGATCATAGAATCACAGACTTGTTTGGGTTGGAAGGGACCTTTAAGACCATCTTGTTCCACCCCCTGCCGTGGGCAGGGACACCTTCCACTAGACCAGGTTGCTCCAAGCCCCATCCAACCCAGCCTTGGACACTTCCAGGGATGGAGCAGCCACAGCTTCTCTGGCCAACCTGGGCCAGGGCCTCCCCACCCTCACAGGGAAGAATTCCTTCCCAATATCCCATCTAACCCTGCCTTCTGGCAGTGGGAAGCCATTCCCCCTTATCCTGTCACTCCAGGCTGTTGTCCAAAGTCCCTCTCTAGCTCTCTTGGAGCCCCTTTAGGCACTGGAAGGGACTCTAAGGTCTCCCTGGAGCCTTCTCTTCTCCAGGTGAATACCCCCAGCTCTCCCAGCCTGGCTCCAGAGCAGAGGGGCTCCAGCCCTCAGAGCATCTCTATGGCCTCCTCTAGACTTGCTCCAGCAGATCCAAGTCCGTCCTCTGCTGAGGACCCCAGAGCTGGATGCAATACTCCAGGTGGGCTCTCACCTGAGTGGAGTAGAGGCAAAGCCCCAGGCGTGCTGTGCCCAACATATGTCTACCCAGGGGTCCTGCCAGCACACAGGGCAAGACATGGGCAGGGCAACAGGCACAGCCCAGTATCTAAGGAGCAGGAGCTGCTGGAGAGCTCACATCTGCACAGGCAAGCAGAGTGAGCAACCAAGATACCTCGGCAGTCTGGTGAAAGTAACTGTGATGGGGCAATGCAGCTGGGGGTCACTAACAAGCTGCCTGTGCCCCAGCTGGATTCTCATTCCTCATGGGAACGGGCAGTTTTGTAAGAAGAGATGGAAACTTTCTGTCCTGGTATGAGAGGTTGCAAGATGTGCCTGGAGAGGTGGCAGAGAAGACAACCCAGCCTTGCCCAGCTCCAGGACAGGCTCACCACCAGGAAGCATTTGCCAAGGCACTGGACAAGGGCTCCCAGGTTCAACACCATCCCACACCACTGCAGAGTGGAAATGTCCATCTTTTGTGGATCCAGCAGACACACAATGGTCCCTGTTCATTGCTGTGTGCTGGAGCCTGCACATCCTGCCTACCTCCCCCCTGGTCATTCCGCCTGGGAAAAGCCTTGCAGTGAAACCAGAGAGACAAATCAGAGATGTGACGGACACTGGTGACATTTCTATCCAGCCAAGATCTGAAAGACTGGAAATAAATAACAGGTGAGATGGACACAGGTGGGAAGCCTCCAGAGAAGAGGTACTTGAATCCCCTGGTGAACCTGCAGAGTTGACCCAAGGTCTTGGAAGGAATCAGAAATTACCCAGATCCGAAGAATAGTATTGCTTTAATTCATAGGGGGCTAATCAAATTAAAAATATAAATCCTCTTGTTTTGGACTCAGGGTAAAACACTGACTGCTGGGGAAGGAGTCGCCCCCAGGACAAAGCACTGGAAACTCTCTGAGGAGATCCTCACCCTCCCACTCTGTTGGGTTGACAGACACAGGGCTGTGGCTGGCCAGGTCCACTCCCGAGCTGGAGACACAGCTCTTCTTCAGCAAGGGCAAGAAACAGGACAGCAGAGCACTTGCATGGTGGGCTGAGAAATGCAGCCTTGTCACTAGACGACAGGACAGACAAGTGACAGACGATGGACGGCTCCTCTGGCTACTTTTCCTCAAGTAACGCCTCAGCAGCAGCAGCAGCAATCCCATGATGTCATCAAGGAGAGACATCCCAAGGCTGGTTGGAAAGGTGGCCACCTAGTCCAAGGCTGCAGCTGAGCTGCTTTCCCAGCTCTCCAAGGACTCCTGCTCCACACCCTGGGGATGGACCAAGAGCTGCAGGTGCTGGGATGGGACCAATGAGCTCCAGAGCCCTCAGCATGGGCAGGGACCCACCTCTGCTGGGGGAGACTGGGCAGGACCAGCCTGGACCACACAATCACAGGCTGAACAGAGACGCCCCCGGTGTGCCCCCACCTCCTGGCCCACCCAGATGCCCCCTAGAGTGGGTGAGCACAGGCAGAGCCATGGCAAACCCTGCAGCCAAGCAAGGAGGGAGCAGATGTCAGGCTCTGTGGGGATGCACATCAGAACTGTGCTGGGAGCGAAGAGAATTTGGGAAGGAGCATCATGCATGAAAGCACAGGAGCACCCAAAGGCCCTCATGCTGCTTACAGAGGTGAGGGACATGCATGCAGTAGATCCGCCTGGAGACCCTCAGCCCAATGGCAGCATCTGGAGCCACGTGGCACCAATGCCCATTGCCACAGCCAAACCCCACAGTCTCTGAGGGCTGCTCTTCCAGTCCCACGGGAATTGCAATAACAGAGCCCTAGCCCAGCAAGCACCAGGGCAGAGGTGCCATGGGAGGTCCTCCTGGGAAGGTCAGTGCACAGTGTCAGGCATGGGTTCATCCAGGTCTCAAAGGGAAATGGCTGAGCCATGGGTTTCCCACCGGGTTGTGGAGCTGCTGTCCTGTCTCCCCACAGCAAGTGCAGCATCAGGACGGCACAGCCACCAGCAGTATTAGGAGCCTTTCCCTGTTAGCCAGGACATGTCTCCGGTTCTAAAAGAGGGAAAAACCAGATGGGGTGTTACTCAGCACATGCAGCTCTCGATGCTGTCTTGGTGCTAGTCCAGACATTGGTCATTGGTGTCCATCCCCCCACCCTGCTGCGCTGTGCCCTTCCTCTGCCCTCATTCACATGTCATTAAACTGTCCAAAAAGTCCGTGCAGATCCTCAATTCCATGTAAAACAGAGCTAAAACATTTTTTTTTTACTTAAACCCAGCCCTCCTGGCATTCAGCTGAAAATTCATGGAAAGCCACCAAACCCCCAGCAAAGCATGGTCCCAATCAACAGGCAGCTGCCCAGTCCCAGCAGATCTATGCCTGATGTGGCTCCTGGCACCTCCAGCCCTACCACCCAGCACAGCAGCATCGCCCCCCTGTGAGGGGGATGCAAAACATGGATGCCCACAACGTAATCAGTGTCCCACATGGGAATTAGGGATATGGCCCAATCAGGTGGCTGGCTGGCCCTCCTGCCAGCCCCCCACACCCAGCACACCCAGGACCCCAAATCGAACGTACTTGCCATGACGGACAAACAGTCTGAAGTTGTGAAAGCAGTAGGAGACAGAGAGAGAAAAGACATTCAGGTTTAGGTGGTCTGGTTTCCTCCAGGCCCCCAAGCCTGCTTCCACTCCCCCCTGGGATGCCCATGAGATACCACCTCCTTCCCAGCCAGCAACCACTTCCCGACGTACTGGGGATTACAGCACAAGAAATCCTTCCCTGTGAGGGCGGTGAGGTCTTGGCACAGGTTACCCAGAGAAGCTGTGGCTACCCCATCCTTGCAAGTGTTTAAGGCCAGGCTGGACAGGGCTTGGAGCAACCTGGTCTAGTGAAAGGTGTCCCTGCCCAAGGCAGGGGGTGGGATGGGATGGCCTTTAAGGTTCTTTCCAATCCAAACCATCCTGTGATTTTCTGAACCCTATCTCCACTAGGTGGACGTGTGGCATTCTCCCCATCCCAGAGGTGCCCAGGGAGTCTGAGCTGGTTCAGACCTGCCTGGGGGCCGGGAGTGCTCCTCTCCCTGAGCTTTTGAAAAGATCTGCTTTTATTCCACATGTGGAAACATCCCTGAAACAGGAACCCACATTCCCTCAGCAGCTTTGGTTTCTACTCTAAAGTCTTCTTCCCAGCTGTTACCACCTCCCTGGCATTTGCCTTCCAGCACCCACCCTCAGCACAAAGGGCTATACTTTTTCCTCTGCAAGGTCTTAAAAACAAAGTGAATGAGAAAAATGCCTCCTGCCTATGAGCTCCACTCCAAGGAACTGGAGGCCGAGACACCACAGGCCAGCATCCTGGTACCACCAGCTCTCTGGGCTGGGTTGTGCATAGAGGGTTGCGCACAGGCTTCACACTCAGCCCCTCTCTGTAGATGCCCTTGACTGACTGGGTGCCCAGGGGCACCCCATTATCAGGCAGTGCTTCCTTGGTGATGTGCCAGTGTCCAAAGGCAGTGAGTATCCCCCTCCCATGCAATCCGTGCAAGGATTTGGGTCCTGGTGTTTAAGACAAACCCCACATGTGCAGGATGCCAGAGGAAGCTGGAGGAAGATGGGAGGCAGCACTGAGGGGGACGGAGTAAGCAGAACAGGAAGGGAGATGCAAGGATATACAGAGGGAGCAGCAGGAAAGAGCTGCCTTTGGGTGCTTGGCCCTGCCCTGCACCCCTGGCTGTGATTTGCTGCTGCCCTGGCACTGCCAGTTTCCACTACGTGTCTACTTACTCCACATCGCGCTTCCGGATGGTCCTGCCAGCAGCCAGGACCTCAGCCACCTTGGAGACGATCGGGTCGTAGTTCATGCTGGCCACAGCCACCACCTCATCACTCCTAGGGCCGGGCAGAGCAGAGTAGTTAGGGCACCCTGGATGGCCACGGCTCCATCACCCAAAATCCAGCATGCTGGAGAGAAGCGGGAAGCAAAGAGAAACACCCACTCCAGAGCCAGGCCTGATCCCAAGGCATGAGCACCACAGGGACTGTGCTAGTGGCATGGGACAAAGGTCAGGAGAGGGCTCAGAGCTGACACGGTAGGCTGGCCTCAGTGGTCCCACCAATGCTCATGTGCTGGCATAGTGAGCATTGTGAGGGTGCCTGGGGGACAGAGGCAGCTCTGGCACCCTGGCATCTGTGGGAAAACACCACCAAAGTTGAATCTGACGGTGATAAAAACCTGGACACCAGAAAGGATGCCCAGTGGTTGCTGTGATCCCTGTGCTGCTGCCTTCTGCCAAGGGAGTGGAGAGGCAGGTGGTCAGGATTTCCCTGTGGGACACTTGGTTGGGATGCTCCACATCCTCTTCCTGATTCCCACCTCCAAGAGGGCAGAGTGCCCACCTCTGAGCCGCTCCACAGGCACCAGGACAGAGGTGTCCAACACCAGGGTCCCATAGCCCCAGTGATGAAGTCCTCATGTATAGGGATGTCCAGGCCAACTGGCTGTTCCCCACCAGGCTCGCGACACAACCCCAAAGGTTGAGTGGGA